GAAATCTGCCTCACCCGCTCGGTTTAGGTCTTAGGAGCTCTCTAGAAGCGTGCCCTAAGACCAAGGTGAGAGTTCACGAAAGAAATCTGCCTCACCCGCTCGGTTTAGGTCTTAGGAGCTCTCTAGAAGCGTGCCCTAAGACCAAGGTGAGAGTTCACGAAAGAAATCTGCCTCACCCGCTCGGTTTAGGTCTTAGGAGCTCTCTAGAAGCGTGCCCTAAGACCAAGGTGAGAGTTCACGAAAGAAATCTGCCTCACCCGCTCGGTTTAGGTCTTAGGAGCTCTCTAGAAGCGTGCCCTAAGACCAAGGTGAGAGTTCACGAAAGAAATCTGCCTCACCCGCTCGGTTTAGGTCTTAGGAGCTCTCTAGAAGCGTGCCCTAAGACCAAGGTGAGAGTTCACGAAAGAAATCTGCCTCACCCGCTCGGTTTAGGTCTTAGGAGCTCTCTAGAAGCGTGCCCTAAGACCAAGGTGAGAGTTCACGAAAGAAATCTGCCTCACCCGCTCGGTTTAGGTCTTAGGAGCTCTCTAGAAGCGTGCCCTAAGACCAAGGTGAGAGTTCACGAAAGAAATCTGCCTCACCCGCTCGGTTTAGGTCTTAGGAGCTCTCTAGAAGCGTGCCCTAAGACCAAGGTGAGAGTTCACGAAAGAAATCTGCCTCACCCGCTCGGTTTAGGTCTTAGGAGCTCTCTAGAAGCGTGCCCTAAGACCAAGGTGAGAGTTCACGAAAGAAATCTGCCTCACCCGCTCGGTTTAGGTCTTAGGAGCTCTCTAGAAGCGTGCCCTAAGACCAAGGTGAGAGTTCACGAAAGAAATCTGCCTCACCCGCTCGGTTTAGGTCTTAGGAGCTCTCTAGAAGCGTGCCCTAAGACCAAGGTGAGAGTTCACGAAAGAAATCTGCCTCACCCGCTCGGTTTAGGTCTTAGGAGCTCTCTAGAAGCGTGCCCTAAGACCAAGGTGAGAGTTCACGAAAGAAATCTGCCTCACCCGCTCGGTTTAGGTCTTAGGAGCTCTCTAGAAGCGTGCCCTAAGACCAAGGTGAGAGTTCACGAAAGAAATCTGCCTCACCCGCTCGGTTTAGGTCTTAGGAGCTCTCTAGAAGCGTGCCCTAAGACCAAGGTGAGAGTTCACGAAAGAAATCTGCCTCACCCGCTCGGTTTAGGTCTTAGGAGCTCTCTAGAAGCGTGCCCTAAGACCAAGGTGAGAGTTCACGAAAGAAATCTGCCTCACCCGCTCGGTTTAGGTCTTAGGAGCTCTCTAGAAGCGTGCCCTAAGACCAAGGTGAGAGTTCACGAAAGAAATCTGCCTCACCCGCTCGGTTTAGGTCTTAGGAGCTCTCTAGAAGCGTGCCCTAAGACCAAGGTGAGAGTTCACGAAAGAAATCTGCCTCACCCGCTCGGTTTAGGTCTTAGGAGCTCTCTAGAAGCGTGCCCTAAGACCAAGGTGAGAGTTCACGAAAGAAATCTGCCTCACCCGCTCGGTTTAGGTCTTAGGAGCTCTCTAGAAGCGTGCCCTAAGACCAAGGTGAGAGTTCACGAAAGAAATCTGCCTCACCCGCTCGGTTTAGGTCTTAGGAGCTCTCTAGAAGCGTGCCCTAAGACCAAGGTGAGAGTTCACGAAAGAAATCTGCCTCACCCGCTCGGTTTAGGTCTTAGGAGCTCTCTAGAAGCGTGCCCTAAGACCAAGGTGAGAGTTCACGAAAGAAATCTGCCTCACCCGCTCGGTTTAGGTCTTAGGAGCTCTCTAGAAGCGTGCCCTAAGACCAAGGTGAGAGTTCACAAAAGAAATCTGCCTCACCCGCTCGGTTTAGGTTTTAGGAACTCTCTAGAAGCGTGCCCTAAGACCAAGGTGAGAGTTTACAAAAGAAATCTGCCTCACCCGCTCGGTTTAGGTCTTAGGAGCTCTCTAGAAGCGTGTCCTAAGATCAAGGTGAGAGTTCACAAAAGAAATCTGCCTCACCCGCTCGGCTGTTAAGACATGACGAAGATTTTGTGTGATAAACATAATATTATTGATATGGAATAATAAGTACAAAGCTCTTAACTGAAATAAAATTTTAAATGGGATGTGTTCCATGTATTGGGTATAGCCTTTCCCGTCGGGTGCTCCAGGCGGTATGCTCCATTTTGTAAGTTTTCCACCACCCTGAAGGGGCCTTCCCAATTCGCGGCTAATTTTCCCGTCAATCGGTTTCGTCGGGCTTCAGCCGTTTTTCTCCACACGAGGTCTCCTTCAACAAATTGTCGAGGCCTGACCTTGGTGTTGTAACGCCTTGCCAGCAGCCTTTTTCGAGCCTCCGCTCGGATCATAGCCACCTCTCTTCGTTCATCCAGAGTATCTAGCTCCACCCGAAGCTCATCATTGTTATCTTGCAGACTTTGAACTCCCCTTCGTATGGTAGGTTCTCCTACCTCGACAGGCAACACTGCGTCTATTCCATATGTAAGGTTGAACGGGGTTTCCCCAGTTGTACCGTGCGGCGTGCAGCGGTACCCCCATAGGACTTCCTGAAGTTCATCCACCCAGACTCCCTTGGCATCTCCCAGCCTTTTCTTCAGCTCGGCGACAATGACTTTGTTGGCCGCCTCCACTTGGCCGTTCGTCTGTGGGTGCTCTACCGAGCTCGTGACACGCTTAATTCCCAGCTTTTTGTAAAATTCTCCTAAGCCTTTATCAATGAATTGCTGACCGTTATCCGTAACTATGACTTTGGGAATTCCAAATCTGCATATGAGCGTCCATACAAACTTTTGAACCCGAGCGGCCGTGATCGTTGCGAGCGGTTCTGCTTCCACCCACTTAGTGAAATAATCAATCGCTACTAATAGGAATTTCTTTTGAGCTCGGCCCACTGGAAAAGGTCCAACAATATCGATTCCCCATTGCGCGAACGGCCAAGGTGACATCAAACTGTGCAATTTTACCGGTGGTAGATTGAGATTCTTGCCATGCTCCTGACACTTCAAACATTTCTGCACAAATTCTTTGCATTTCTTTTCCACCGTCGGCCAGAAATAGCCCTCTCTTATCACCTTGGCACGTAATGCTCGTTGCCCTGTATGCATTCCACATGCCCCCTCGTGCAGCTCCCTCATCACATACTCGGCTTCCTCCGAAGATACACATTTTAATAAGGGTGAGGAGAATCCTCGCTTATACAGATCCTCCCCTATTAATAGGTACCGAGCGGCCTTCTTTGCCTCAGTTGCCCGGACGTGCAAGCCACTCTCCTGCCTCTGAATAATTTCTTTGATGCCTTTTCTCCAATCAGGTCGATCGGAGATCTCGTGAACTGCCAGACACTCCACCGAAGGGTTCATCAAAACTTGCCTTATGACCGACGACAAGTGATCCTTCCCCTTACTGTTGGCGAGCTTAGATAAGACATCTGCCCTCGCATTCTGCTCCCTTGGCACATGCTTAAATTCCACCGTCCGGAATTGTTTCACCAACTCCTTTACCTTATGAAAATAACTAAGCAGCTGATCATCTTTGGTCTGGAAGCTCTCAGTCAACTGCCCTATGACCAATTGGGAATCCGTTCGGCATTTGACCGAAACCGCCCCCAAGTCCTTAGCCAGTTCGAGCCCAACTATTACTGCTTCGTACTCGGCCTGATTGTTACTTATGCTGAACCGAAAGATGATTGCCTGTTCCACGACAAAGCCGTCTGGTCCTTCCAACACAATTCCTGCCCCACCGCCGGACCGCTCAGAAGAGCCGTCCACATAAATGGTCCACTCTTAGTGGCATTCTTCTTCCCACGGTAACTCGACCGCGAAATCGGTCAAATGTTGCCCTCGGATTGACCCTCTTGGTTCGAACTGGAGCCCAAATTCAGACAACTCCACGGACCATCCTACAATTCTCCCCGCCAGGTCTGGTCTGCACAGGATTTTCGCGATTGGGTGATCTGTTCGAACTATCACCTGATGACTCTGGAAGTACGGTCTTAGGCGTCGTGCTGCCATCACCAGTGCCAAAGCGATCTTCTCGACTCGCTTGTATCTTGTTTCCGCTGGCTGCAACGTTCGACTGACGAAGTGCACGAGTTTAACTCAGGTTGCTCCTGCACCAAAGCCGAGCTGACCGTGTCCTCCGAGACCGCCAGGAACAGTTGTAATGCATGTCCCACATCAGGTCGCCCCATGACCGATGGACTGACCAGTATGCGTTTAACTTCGGTAAATGCTTGCTCACACTGGTCGTCCCAATCAGTACCCGCACTCTTCTTCATAATTCTCACTATCGGCTTTATCCGTTCGGCTAGCTTTGGAATAAAGCGAGATAATGAAGTCAGCCTCCCTACCAACCTCTGAACCTCCTTCAACTTCTAAGGACTTCTCATCTCCAGTATTGTTCTGCACTTGTCAGGGTTCACCTCTATGCCTCTAGTTGTTAGCAGGAATCCTAGAAACTTTCCTGCCGGTACCCCGAAAGTGCACTTGGCCGGATTAAGGCGCATGTTGTACTTGCGAACCTGAGGAAAACCTCCGCAAGATCCTTCACATGGTCTTCTACCGAACGGCTCCTCACCACCATGTCATCCACGTAAACCTCCATGCATCTGCCTATCTGGTCAGAAAAAACCCTATCCATTAGCCGTTGGTAGGTAGCCCCTGCATTCTTCAATCCGAACGGCATAACCTCATAACAATAGTTAGCCCGCTCGGTGATGAAAGCTGTCTTATCGCTGTCCAGGGGAAACACAGGAATCTGATTATATCCTGAATATGCATCCAAGAAGCTTAGCACATGGAACCCCGAAGCCCCATCCACTAACGCATCAATACTTGGCAGCGGATAAGAATCCTTGGGGCAAGCTTTGTTTAGATCCGTGAAGTCCGTACACATTCTTCATTGTCCGCTCGGCTTCTTTACCATCACAACGTTCGCCAGCCAAGTTGTGTACTTGAGTTCACGGATGAAATCTGCTTCTAACAACTTTTTCACCTCAACTGCCACTGCCGATCTCTTCTCTTCCCCCAGTCTTCTCTTCTTTTAGGCCACCGGTCGGGCCTCTTTGAACAATTCCACCTTATGTGACATAATTTTTGGGTGGATTCCTGGCATGTTGGCTGCAGTCCAAGCAAACAAATCTTGGTTCTTCTTCAACTCAGCACCTATCGCCCTGGCTTGGTCCTCCTCCAACTCACTCCCAATGGTAGTAACCTGCTCCTCCCTCCGTCCAAGACTGAAGGGCCTTGTCTCCCCCATTGGTTCCATCCGATCATCAGTATTAGTCCTTGGATCTAGATCTGCCATGGCTACCTCTGATCGTCTTCTCCTGTGCCGGCTGGGTGGGTCCGATGACGACGGCTGAACCTTTAGCCTGGCCATATAACACTCTCTAGCAATCCTCTGATCAGACCGAACGGTGCAAATGGTTCCATTGCCTAACGAAAACTTGAGCGTGAGGTGGGGCGTGGAAACAATTGCCCCGAATGCGATTAAACACGGTCTTCCTAACAACACATTATAAGAGGTGTTCGTGTCCACCAGCAAAAATATGGTTTTTATCTCCTTACTCCGCTCGGTTCCCAAGCAAGTTCTCAGATCCACATATCCTCTAATATCCACCCTTTCCCCCGAAAATCCTACTATCTGTTCGTTGTACGGGGCGATCAGATCCTCGGATATGTCCATCTGTTGGAACATTTTCCAGTAAAGAATGTTGACAGAACTTCCCTGGTCCACCAACACCTTTCCCACGTTGTATCAGGCAATAATAGTTGTTATTACCATCGGGTCATCCTCATCTGGATCGTGAGCGTGGAAATCCTCATCCGTAAACGTGATTGGCGGCATAGAGCGCTTTCTCACATCTACCCTGTGGACGCTTTTTAGCTCCCTCAAGTTTCTCTTTCTTGCGGACGCCGATGACCCTCCTGCAAAACCTCCCGAAATGGTGTTTATCGTTCCCCGCAGCGATCGGTCATGGCTGCGACTTCTACTCCGCCTACGGTCGAGGCGCCTGTCCTCTCTCCTATCACTTCGCTCTACCCTAGCCCTCCTGGGTGGGCTCCTCGCCCTCCGTTCCTCCTTAACAAACTTCTTCAGGTGACCCGCTCGGATCAGTTCTTCCACCTTATCCTTCAACACCGTGCAGTCCTCGGTGTTATGCCCTATGTTCAGATGATAGGTGCAATGTTTAGTTCCATCCGCCTTGGGTGATGACCGGGAGGGTCTTACCCGAATCAGATCTACACTCAGGGCCTCCTCCAGCACTCTAGCCCTTGGCATATTCAACGGGTTGTACCTTTCGTACCTAGCCCCCTTCGGGCCATCTCTATACTTCTGGCCCTTCGGCCGCTCGCCCGGTACGAACGGTTTCTTGCCCTCCTTCTTCTCATGCCCTGAACTCGAGCTTTGCTCCTGCTGTCGCCTTTGGACCGCCCTCATTTCTTCTATTCTAATGAACCGAGCGGCCCTCTCTTGCAATTCGTCCAGGGTTAACGGGGGCTCTGCAAACAAGTTATCGGCAAATGGGGAAGGCCTCAGCGCGGTAGCCAGAGTTTTAATTGTAAACTTCTTGCCTACTCCCCTTACTTGCCGAGCGGTTCTATTGAACCTTTCCATGAAGTCCCTTAGACTTTCTCCCTTCTCCTGCTTTATGTTTGTTAACTCCAGATACGTCAGATTTCGCGCTTTACTCGCCGAAAACTGCCGCTCGAACATATCCCTCAAAGTAGCAAAGTTACCGATGGTTCGAGGTCTCAACGAGTGAAACCATGCTAATGCTTCTCCTTTTATTGACAAGGAAAAAACTCTGCACCACATATTTTCCCTGGGGGAGTAAATGGTCATGACGTCAACAAAGGATCTCAAATGCTCCTCCGGATCCCCTGACCCATCATACTTCTCCAAGGCTGGAAATGCTCTCTCCGGAATCTGCTCTTCCATGACTGCAGCTGTGAATGGATGCAAGGCTCTAGCTCAACCGGCTGGGACCAGACTGTTTGCTGTCCGATGCGAGCCAGCTTCACTCTGCTCCTCTCCCTGATAATGACTATCAGGAATAGGATCTGTGTCTTCTTGTGAGTCCGGCTCTGTCTCCGGCATCTCTACAATAGGTGGTGTTTGGGCGCGCGCGGAAGATGGACGATTAGCTTGCGCCCCTCTAGCCGCATCACGCTCGCCTCTAAGGGTTTCAATCTTTGCCTGCATTGCCTCCATTCTTCTTCTCATCTCCTGTATAAATGCTGCCGGGTCTTGCTCCATCCTTACGGTCGTAAAAGGTTGCCTTCAATGATCCTTGGCCCCACGGTGGGCGCCAAAATGTTTCTGCTGAATGGGACCGGGGAAAACTCCTACTGTCTCCGCCCAGAAACACTCCTCCTCTACCGATCGGTCCTTCACCTTTCGCCTTCCTTATGCTCGTTCTCAATATGAATGGGTGACCTGCAGGAAACACTCCGACGCTCAAGTCAGAATTGGTCTTTGCAAGTCTATATAATTGTAGAAAAAACAGAAAGTTTACATTCTCCTTCGATTGTTATTTATATGATTTCAGAGAATATTACCCATTAATTTACCTCTTAATGGCTTTCAATGCTAATCTTAAATACTCGACAACGACCGTTACCTCATTAATTACAAATTCATGAACATTCAACCGCTGTCTTTAGCAAACAGTTTTAGAGGCCCGCCCGACCGGACATATTAGACTTGAGAGACCCGATCGGACATATTAGACTTGAGAGACCCGATCGGATATATTAGACTTGAGAAACCCGATCGTACATGTTAGACTTGCTTCTACTTGCTCGGTATTATCTGAACACGCCCGGTCGGTTACTCAGTAACAAAGGATATTAATATATGTAAAATAATTCTCATTATTTGTATACATCTTTCATATTTTTAATTTTTTATTACATTTTAAATTGAAAAATTAAAAAATTTATTCAGGTAAGTAATCACACATACTTTAACATAGTAAGATATTATAAACCACCCATATTGTATAACAGCACAATTTACTCTAAATTATTCTTTTTAATTTAATCATTATTATTACTTTTTTTCTTTTTCAAAAATATATAAAAACATGAAGCGTTTTTCTTGTTTCAATCAACTAATTAGATTAATGTTTCAAAATTTGTACGTTTTCCATCTCATACCTTAAAATAATAATAAAAAACTCTAATGTTCAAATCCAACAAGATCTTTTAGATACTAGGGAAAAATATTCTAGATATTTTTTTAGAACTGGAAGCAATTGAATCAATTCCTCTAAAGATTTAAATTTCAGTAGCAGCGTCAGTTGATGAAAATTACTTTAAAAACAAGTAAAATTCTGAGATTTTTTATTTTACAATTATTATTCTTAAAAATAAAAAAAAGGGTAATAAATATTTAAAAAAAAATCAAAAGAAGTATTGATTTATTGTGATTTTCATATTATTATTTTAGTGTTATACCTTCTTTAAATATTGATTTAATTTTTTACTTAATATTTTATTGTTTGAATTATTTAATTATATTTTAGAAGAATATTTATTTGAATTTCAATTTAATATGTTAGATTATTAAAAATACATAATTTAAAATTTTTAAAATATATGATTATTTAATATTAATTTTGATTTAATAATGAATATAAATTATTTTTCAGTTACCTTTTCAATTAACTTTATCAAACAAAGCTTTAATGTAACCATTTATAGTTTGAGATCAATTTTATTAACAAATATAATTTAATGAAAAATTATTGTTTGAACTTTAACTTAAATGTCAAATTAATTCTAAAAAATAAATTTTAATGTATTCTTAAGCTTTATTACTCAATGCAAAACTGTATTTACAAGCTTTATTACTTTTTTTATTGTATATTTTATTTAATAACCTAATAATAATTATAATATAAAAATATTAATTTAAATATAATAAAGTTATAACATATTAAATTATCTAATAAAACATATAATTTTATATGTATATGTAAATAATATTGTTAAAGTTATTTAAAATTTTGTAATGGAATTAAACTCAGCTAGTTTAATTAAGAGGAAATTTGGGAATCGAGATTTTTTTACCCCACTTAAAAACTTTTTAAAATTGAATTTTTTTAAAAATGGATTAAGACTAATTCATAAATCATGGATTAAATTGACAACAAAGTATTTTACATGAATTTTATAAAAGAATATAATATGTAATAATATGAAAAATATTATTAGATTGTTTGGTTAGATTTTCTTTTACAGCATTAATAACAAATAAAAAATACGCATAGCATAACTATCAAATTCAAAGTAGAATTAAACCAATAACGTAAAGTAAAAAAAAGTTTGGCACATGTAATTAGGCTTTCAATGCGTTAAACCGTTTAAGTCAGCTTTGAATGAAAAAAAGTTTAGCCAAAACATTAGTTAAATTAAATTTTAGTTAATTTAAACTCAGTTTCATTTCACATGAAGCGGAGAAAATCGGTGGGTGCGGACAAAGCAGAACGGACATTAACCGCCACATCCAATCCAAATTAGAGTAATAAAGTGTTAACAGAAGGCAGACGAAAAAGGAATGGAGCACAGTCCACAAGTTTAACGTGTGTGAAGAAGTGTCGGTGGAGTGCGACGGAGCCTTCGTCATCGCCACCGTCCACCTGTAATGACTGCCCTTTTTTTTGGTGTTCAATTTAATGAAGATGCAAAAAGTAAACTAAAATGGTAAAGCTATAATGACAAATAGATATGGTCCTCTATCACTTTTCTTCAGTATTCCCTACACCGTTAAAATAAAATAAAATAAAATAAAATAATAATAACCTAACAGAAACGCGCGTCATCACGAGAGTGATTAGCCCTGGGAGGAATCTCGAAGTGCCAGAGCCTGCCAACGCCTTTCACCAACTGCTTCCGGCAGAGAAACTCCTCCGCATAAGCCTTCTCCACCTTCCGATCCACATCGTGCAGGAACACGTGCGTCACGCCGGAGCCCTTCCTGTCCCTCGCCATCACCGCCGCCGAGAATATCGCCGCCATGCGTCCTGGCGCCTCCGCGAAGTACCCCTTCGGCGCGTCAATCATGATCAGATCCCACTCCGTCGAGTACACCTCGTCCGGTAGGTTCTGGAGCGCCAGCTTGCACCGCTCGTTGCCGCGGAGCGTGGCGGTGGCCGGCGAGCAGGCGGGCTCGGAGCGGTAAGACGAGAGGAGCTGGTCGGCTTCGCGGAGCTGGGTCCGGTAGCGGACGGTGTGGGCACGGAGGAACGGCGCGTCCTTGAGGACGGTCTGGACCCATTTAGGGTCCTCCTCGAGGAAGAGCGTGGTGCCACCTGCGTTGAGACCGGCCCACATGAGAGAGTCGTGGCCCAGCCCGAAGACGAGAAAATTGGCGGGCCGATTAAGGGCCTGGAGCACGTCGAAGGTGATGGTGATTTCCGAAAGAGACTGTTGCGGCACAATCTGCGAGGTGGCGTAGTGAAGTATCGCTCTGAGCTGCATCGATGTGGTAGGTCCGGTTAGCTGCTGCCGCGCTCTGGTTATTGAGCATAGAAGACTGTTTTCAGAGGTTTGCATGAAACTGGCGATGAAGAGTGTGGCTCCGATTATGCACAATGTCCCCAATAGCCACATGAACCATCGGTTCTTCATCCTCTCGCTCCCTTGCATTGCTTGATGGACAGAAGTAGGAAGATTTTGGAAATGGTCGTTGTTTTATGGGATTGGAAATGTGAGGGGGTTTTATTGTCAAGATAGATAGATATTGGTGGCTGGTGGTGACAAATGTGAGGGCACGACAATAAATGTCAATCAATATTATTATTATTATTAATATTATTCTAATTATTAATATGTTAATGTTAAGATTAAGGGGATTGGATGTGGTTTACACAAAACCGCTGCACGTCGTACTATGCGCTCTGTCTTCGTGTGCTGTTGGGATTGGGTTAGATTTGAAATTTAAAATGTGGTGTCCCCTGGGAATCATCCTCTGTGCTCACTTCTCTTTCTCACTCAAATCCTACCCATTCTAATCAGATTGGTTTACTAAATACATTAATAAAATATTATTTAAAATATTTTCAGCCGTTGGATGCTAACTGAAAGGCTCTACTTGAATGCGAGTCGGTGTCGTGATTGGGAAATATTTCAGCTTCTCCACTTGTTGCTACAGTAATCATGGCCAGCTGTTGTAAGAATTTCATGAGGACTGGTGGAGTATTTAACTTTTTTTTTTTATTTCAGGTCTAATTAAGATTTTAACTTTTTATATTTCAATATTTTAAATTAATTTTAATAAAATTTTGATTCGTTAAATATTCAAATATTTTCTTATTTTCTTTAAATCTTTAATTTTATGGTCAATTTAATAAATTTGTTTGTGTTATGAATAAGTTGACTGACTAGTTGTAAGTATTGACTAGTAATAAGATATTTAATTACAAACAACTAATTGAGAAGTTGAAGATTCAAATATGTAAATAATGATTTGACAAACACAAAAGATATTTTAAATGTTTAATAGAACGATATTTATAATAAAAATTAAATTAAAAACATGTAACATTATAAGATAATGAAAATTTAATAAAATTTTTGCTTTAAATGATTTTTCATTTTGCAAGAGTGTTTAACTAGTTTTATTCTTTAGGCTTGTGATTCTTTGACAATTGTTCTAGGATGCCTGATCTCGTACTGCTGCTGTGTAAGTAATCTTTTGGTTTCTTCTAACTAAACCATTCACTTTCCTTGCGTGGTTCAATGTTCTCATATTCGCTAATCCCGATTTTGGACCAATCGTTTCTTGACTAGGCCAATCTTTAAAAGAGAAAAAAGAGCACACCATTTACTTTATTGTTTGTCTGAGGAATTGAGCCTCAAAACCTAAAATAGAAGACATTGTTGCTTCATTAAATCCTTTCGGATACCGGTCGGGACAATGGGCCTCTTTATTTC